TTTTTTTAAGAGAAGAAGCATACTCAAGAGACAGGCCTCAATCATTGTCCCTACTCATCTAGTCCATCTGTACTTCCACTGGCACCTTGCTAAATCCCATTTATTCTAGGAGACTTTGGAAAACAAAAGCACACAAGAAAGCCTCCTGTCCTGCCCCTCCTCTCCCAGCCTTAAAGGAGGAAGGGAACAGAGGAATGACGGACACACATAGTGAGGAGCAGAGCTCAGCCAGGAGGAACAGAGACAGTCATGGAGATGATGTCTCACCCTGAGTTTTCAGCTGGCTTTGCCAAGCCCTCTATCCCCCAGAACAGGAGGACTGAGTACCCAAGTACCCCACTTCAAACTGATGACTCCCCTCAGCCATCCCAGCTGTTATGTTTATTTTCTACAGCCCACAGCAGCAAAGGTGAGGGGAGAAAGAACACCACCACCCACCAGTGACATTACCAGGGAGGTGTGGAAAGTGAAAGAGCTATTTTTAAGTTATTTGGCCTCATCCACAATTTTTTGTGTTCCTTCATTTCTCCTAAGAGCCTAATATGCCATGGTTTTCCTTTCTCTTCCAAACAGTCAAAGCTTATCCACATGATACTGAATGCACAAAACACAGCAGAAACACTTCTATTTGGTGTGAAATGCACATAAAGCACTTAGTGAAACAACTGAAAAGCAAACCTAAAATATTTGACAACCTTCACAAAACATTAACAATTAAGGACCACAACTTTTCTTTAAGGGGCATATTCCCTAGCTCGAATAATTAACAAAGAACAAGCAATATTCTTTGCTTGGACTAGAAGACTGTCTTTTTCCATTATATTGTTAAAGATACAAGTATATTCTTCAAATTAGACCTTAATCTTTCTGAAGCTACTTCAATTCCAGCTTTCTTATAGACACTGGCCTGTGAGAGACCTTTACATTATAGTCTATAAATTAAGAGTTCAGTTGTGGAGCTGTCATCTTCACTTTCATTCCTCTCATGTTCCCTCCTCACACAAACCCCAACTCCAGAAGAAGAAAAGAGCAGAAGAATGATAGAAACCTAAACATTCAGCAGCTCTTCCATCAGTACTTGATATATTGTTAAAACAGGACAAAGCAGGCTCTTCAAACAACTGACTGCTTTAAGGAAACCAGAATTAGTAAGAATGCCTACCCCAATTCAAACGAATAGGAGTTCCAAATGTAACACACACATATAAGTGAAATTTTACACACAAATGTACACACACTGCTTAGGGCAACTGCCCTACAGTCTGCATCCCCCATAGGTAAAACCTGAGAGGCCTCCAGGACCAGCCTCGCCAGCTCTCATCCCTGACCACGGGCTCTTTCAGGCTTCAGCGACCAGGAAGCTTTAACAGCCTTGTACTAATAGCCTAATTAACAGCCTTGTACAGCAGGAGTTCACTACTGCTGATGTTAATAAAAGGCAAATCACTCCCAGCTCTTGTGTTAAACCTCTTCTGCTCAATAGCAATCACTAAAGAACATTGCTCTTTAAAGAGCTCCTTCAAAAACCACAAAGAAATCACTCCAAGAGCAGTGGAGGAGGTTTTTAGTTGGGAAGCGGAGTGCCGATAAGGCTGGTACCTGGGAAATCCTGCTGCAGGGGGAGGCAGTGACCCATGTTAGCAGAGGCACTTCACAACACTGAGTTTGCTCACTGCAGCAAGCAGTGGCTCTCTGGGCCACTGGGTGTTGAGAACATCAACACAAGCATTTGCTTGATTCAAAGACAAATTGACAGCAGCCCTCAGAAACTAGTGATACATGCTGAAGCTGTTTCCATCACTGGTACTGATGGGCCAGCACATCTGTTTCTCCACATCTGTTCACATGGTACCAGTCAAAGGCCACAGTTTGCTGCAAAGTCCCCACAGAGGATTCAGCTAATTTTGCCTCCATGCCATTTAACTTTCACCATCGCATTTAAATTTCTGATCATTCAATTTCTAAATAATTCCCTGACTTGATTTAAACTTAGCAATTCCTCAAGCAGTTAAAAAAAACCAAAAAAAAAAAAAAAAACACAAAAAACCAACCAAACAAAAAAACCCCAACTAGAATAATGCCAGAAATTCCTGAATTTCACAAAAAACCACACCCCACTTTCAAGAAAACCAGAACACCTTCTAAAGATAAAGATGGCATGGAAAAATAAGTGAAGTGTACAAAGCAGTATATTTAAAGATTTTTCAGCACAATCAGATAATGCTCAGAACAGATCTTATACATTCTTAACTCTAAATATTCAAGGAACAAAACCATACACAGTGTATTTAAGTCTGTATTGGTTTTACAGGTTAAAGAGAAAATGTGTCAATTTCTTCCATTCCCATTCTGATTAATCCCATATTTTAACACAGACTAAATCTGAGGGCCGGTGCCCTTTAACCCCTCAGTAACAGCAAAGCAGGGAACTAGAAAACCTCTGAAGACAAAGCATTAAAGGGTGCTTAGCTGAAAAGACACCTGCCATAGTGAGGGGTGCATGCTACATATAACACAATTTAAAGCTTCTAAACTTCATCTAGTCCTTGCTGCTGATGAGCACCTTCCTCACTACTGTCCCTACAGACATGTCCTGTCCTTCCAAACTATAAATCCAGAATCACAGAATTATCAACTGGAGCCCTAAAGCACTCTTTAAGAAGAAGACAGCAGAATTAGAACAGAACTATGTATTTTTTGATATAAGATTATATTTGCATTGTTCTCTCCAAGTTCAGGGATCTTCCCTTCTGACACATTTTGTGTTTATGGCTTATGTTACTGAAATTGTCAGCAACATGAACTATGGCTTAAAATCAGACAGTTTCATTACCAGCAGAATGTTTCTAAATTGACTTTTTAAATAAAGACGGATATTAACTTGATCTGTATAAGGAACCCTTCCTAAAATACAAAAAAGCTAGAAATTCAAGCCTGCAGCTGATATGTGCTTTAACATATATTTTAAATGTCTGAATTTATTTATAATGTTTCAAATTTATATTAAAGTCAGATACTGAAAATTACTTTGTAATCAGAAATATTTCAGTCAACTTTCTATTTTTAAATATGACTGAAATATGCCTCCATTCTCTGTCCCCATGCTTTAGCCATACGTTTTACCTGGCAAAACATGATTCTGCTGTCATTTCTTTCAGTTCTACATTAGGAGTCCAGTGTTTCCCACCTGGGCTGAGATGATTCCCACTCCCAGAAAACATTATCCCATGTCAGTTCAGCACATTCATGCCTCCTGCCTTATCCTGCCTCAAGGCTGCTCCAGTCTCCTAAGACAGGGAAGCAGACTGAAGAACTGGTTATGATCCTGCTGAACAGATGAGGCTGTTGAGGGAGTCAGCAGTGCCAGCAGGGAGTGCAGAAATGCCTGCTGACCACAGGCATGGAGACACTCACCGTGCAGCTCAGGTGAGCACCCACCCAGCAGGAGGGGCAGGAGCTATCACAGCTCAGTATCGCTCTGGCAGGATCCCAAATCCCACAGTTTGCCAATCTGGCAGAACTGCAAAGCTGCAGTGCTTTGAGCTGCTCCAGTATTCCCTGCATGTGGACAAGTGTGCACATGTGCTGGGACTACAATTACCGTAAATCATACCTAACACATCAGCAAATATTGACAGGCTTGCAGAAGACTCCTGGGTTTGATGGCAAATGCACGGTGGCAATTAGGTTTGTGGGTTTTTTATACAAGTGGAATAAAGCTTTCCTTTGTAAAGTATCTGAAAGTCTTTGCTTAAATAGTGTCATTCCAGTATTTGTCACACACTGGGGACTGCACCAGAATATTCCTACTAGTCCTATGTAGCTGGGTTTCTGGGGTCAGTCAGAGCAGCCCTAAAGATTGCTGCAGCTCACATTCCCATTTTACAAATCCCCAGATTCTGGGTCAAAGTTCAGAATAAATACAAAATAAATCATCACAGTCAAATATGCCAAGGCACTTAGAGAAGAGACTTTGCTCAATGGCTTCCTGGTGGTTCCCAGGAAGCAGCTCCACCACTGTGCTGCTGCACCTCCTGCTCTCTGTGTGACGCTGGGAGTGCCCACAAACCTCCCCAACACCACGTCCAGACCTAAAACACAAAGTACTGCATGGCCTCACAGTAACAACAACATGCTGCTGATGCCTTGCAGTAACCAAAATGCACCAAGACTGTTGTTTACATTTGTGAAGCTCTTTGTCAGGTTGTTGTGCTACTGAGAGAGGCACAAGCTGGGCAAACAGTGGCTTCTCCCTCGAGCTGTCCCACAGCCACACCTATCACAGCGCCCTGCAATTTGAGCACACATCCTGCCAGATAAACTTTTCTGGGGTGCTACACAGCAAGCTGCCACTCAGTACAACTCCTTAGTTTTGCTAAATTTCACCTTTATATAAAGAACCCTACTCAGTACTTCTTAATTTTGCTAAATTTCACCTCCATATAAAGAGCCCTATTCTAACTCTCTTTTGGAGGCCGGAGCTGGGAAAAAAATATTCAATGCAAACAGAAAATAAAGACTTGCCATTCAGTATTCTGAACCAGGCTGGCTACTCACCAGCTGTAATATAAACACTACAGACCATGAAGCCCCTATAACCATCTTCTTTATTTCCACCCAGGTATGTTTACTGAGTCTGTTAATACACACCACATTGTGGCAACTGCCTTCCTATGAAGCTAAAAAATGGAGCACATGAAGACAGAAAACACTTGTACAGTTGTTTAAAATGAAATTATTATCAATATACTTTAAAGTTTTGAGGAAGTAATTTGTGCCTTCACCAAGGAAAAAAATACCCCTGAACCATACTTCAGAGCAAACTGGGAAACTGCCAAAAGAGGGGCAGTTCAGTGATGTTTAAACTTGCAGGTTTGGGATGCAGATCATACAGAAGAGTAGAAGCAGGTTTTTCTAACATATTCTGCAATGAATTATTTGTTTTAAAAGAAGCTTGCAGCAGCTTGGGAGTTTTGAATTAAGAAAAATTCCTTAGGGAGGGGAATAAATCACTTTTTTCCTTTTTCTTTATACAATAAAGCAGGATGCTGACACTTATGTTTCCATGTTCAGACACAAAATTCAGAGGATCACTCTTATATTCCTTTGCCAGAAGGTGCTATCTGCATTACTAGGGGATATGCATAATCAGTGTAATTATGCATGAATAATGCTAACAAAGTTTTCCTGAAATTGATTAAAATCACAGAAATGCATTCTGGTGAAGTAAACAAATTGCATAGAAAAAATACTTTTGATCTCTCACTACACTTGTCTCAAAACCCAATTTATTCTCAAATTCCTGCCCATTTCTAAGAAATTACAAACAAAAGGCTGAGTCACATCAGTAGATGGAAAAAAAAAAAGACCAAGTTAAAATCCCCCTGAGCTTCAGATGAGCTTGGTTGGTTAGAGCATGGTGCAGATAGCACCAAGGTCACGGCTCCAACGCCTGCGTAACTCATTTATTCCTTAATTCAATTCCCTGAGAGCTGGATGCAGTGATCCTTCCAGCTCACAACTGTCTGAGACTCTGACACCAGTGACTTCCAGGCTGGACTTGCCCACCTTATTTCCAACTAGTTATCTGGAAATCTCAATTTGCTTTTCCTCAGAAAAAGAAGTAACAAGCAGCTTGTTACTACTTACTGACCTCATTTCCTCCTTTTTCACCACCCTAAAAATGATATATTTTATAATTTGCGCTTGAACAATGAAGCTCCTAGAAAGGGAAATCTCTCCACATTTTAAACTGTTACTCTTGTATCTTAATTGTAAGGATGTTTGGTCAAGTGATTATAATGATTACATTAGACAAGCCTACATAATCATCATTTTTTTCAAAACTAAAACGTTTGCCTTTTTAAAAATAACTCTAACATAGTCATCTTGTCAAAAATATTAAAAAACATATGATTTTAAAAATATATATAATGACTTAATTTGTACATTAATTCTTTTTTCTCTTATATTTTGTTCCTTCCCTTTTGCACATAAAAATATCATCTCCAGCAACTGGAGATTTAATATTTTAAACTTTAATTAGAGAACAAACATTACTGTAAATGTGTATAGAAAAAAAATGTTTGCTGAAAATGAAATGGATGATTTGTAGACAAGCATTTTCACTAAAGCAGTTTCTCTTTTTGGCATCAAAGAAATGCTGGAAGCCAAATAGTTGTTTTTGTTTTGTTTTAAATTATTATTAAAGGTTTATTCTCATCATGCAATTTGAAGGGCTTTTATTACAATGCATAGTGTTTGCACCAAGAGCAAGGTATTTTCTCTTCCATGCACACACTAAAACAAGAGTGAAATGTGGACACTGAATTCCCTCCTTACTGGAATATCCAAGCAGCTGCAACAAGCAGGGCCAAGATCCAAGACTAGGGAATGCAAAAATGCACCTTTGCTGAAGTTGTGCAATAGTTTGCATATCTATTTTGAAAAACTAATTATTATTTTTTTCAAAAATGCATCATCTGAAAGAAACAGGGTCTTGGGCCAGAAACCTGAACTTTGGCACAGAGAGAATAGATAATTTACACTCTCTCTCCCCCTCCCTCTCTCTCTAGAGGTAAGTGGGAAGAAGGAAATATTTTTCAGCCCCTCCCACCTCCTCCTCCTCCTCACAGTGATAGGTATCTACCACCTAGAGAGCTCTAACTAACTATTAAGGTCTGATTAAGATGCTTTATAAAACATAATAAGCCATGAGATAGGATAAGCACGTATGAAATACCTCATGTGCAACTGGCAATCAGGGCTGAGGTATTCATAACTGTCTGTGAGATTTCAACACCTTTCTGTAAAACCAATACTCTGCATGTCTCAAGTCATACTTCTTCCCAGAAATCCCTTTTCTTGCTCTGGATACAACACGCTTGGGCATCATTCATTTTCGCCCAACATTTAAGAATTGCTCAAATAGCTTGGGATGTGCAAGAGGGTTTAGAGTTTAACTACACCACTGCTGCATTCACACAGCAATCTTGTACCTGGTGTTGGAGTTTTGAAAGAGTTTTGCATTTGGGTCACTCCATCAAAGATGACAAATAAAATTCCTCATGAATTTTAATTGTGAAACTTTGTTCCAGCTGCAATTGCACTTTCAGAAACCCCATGTACATTATGACACATACATTATTATAGTTCATAACTCTACAGAATGAAGCAAAGGTGACAAGAGTGACTGAAAGTGGAACTTGGAGAGCAAGCCCAAACCAAAAGCAAAGTAAGGCAACTTACAATGACTGCAAGCCACTCAATCCTCTGATGGCCTCGTTAGGTACCGTCTTCAGCTGATTGTTCTGGAGGGTTCTGTAAAAATCCACTGTGTTAATAAAGTACAACTGGACAATCATCTTTATCAAAGCTACAGGTAACAAAAAAGCCCATATTCCTGCTATGGTTTCCCAGATTTCTCGTGTATGTCAATGCATGCAGAATTCTCAAGACCAGATGCCCAAAGGCAACAATGAAACAATGTTCTATTTCAGTTTTATTTACAACTCATTCACTAACTGCATTAATTTGCAGAGAACAAGCTGACAATATGCTGAAATTCCCTTGGGAACTCACTGAAGAGGTTAAACAACAACACTAGGACAAATTTGCTACAAGAGATGATATGTTATTGTTTTCTTGTGGAATTATCTTCCACATGCTAGAAAAGACACAGACCTGTAATTTTTCCTGAAGTTGCATCAATACACAATGTATCAACAAACTAATTTATGAAGTGTGGTCACAACAGAGCATCCTTGGGTCAAGGTGAATTAAGCTATACTGTTGTGGGTTGCTTCAAAATTCTCTTACAAGACAATGTACGTCATGTGAGTTCTTTTATAAAGAGAATATAAATGAACTTATAAAATCTTACTCAGTTTTGGTGCATACTGGGGTAACAAGTCAAGTCACAGCTTTTAATTAAGAGACATGTCCCACGTTTTTCCAAGAACTGCCAGAATTTCAAGCACCTCCAGTGTTAATATTGCAATGGGTATGTCTTCAAGAGTTTTGACACTTTGCATTCAATTTACAGCATATTGTATTAAATAGTATTGCAAATGGCCAGCTCCCTAATCTGTACCCTAGAAATAGTGTCTATGGTTTTTTTCTTTAAAACCTCAAGGTCTGCTAATTTTTTAAAATTTCTTTAATTAACTATCTATTACCCTGCTAGCATCTGGAAGTATTTACATCATCAGAAATGCTGTAGTTTTCAATTTGAGGGTTTTTTTTAAAACCTTGAACAACAGAGAGCTTTTTTTTTTTTTTATCCTAAGCTATGGAAAAACAACTGCCATAAAAATTCTTATTTCAGAAGGAAAAATAAAAGTTTTTTTTTAATAGAAAGACATTTTCACCTAGAGAAGCATCAAGCTATAGCAATTTTTTCTATTGCCAGTATGAAATAATCAGTGTATTAAACCTTTAAGTATAGTACCATCTGATTAATGTCAGGTACCTGACTGAATATGCTGAAGGTGTGGGGAACAACAAAAGCTTACATGCCCTTTTCAGGATTTTTCCTCTGATTCTTCTGCTACAAGATATACTTCAGAAACAAATAAGTGTTCTAATAAAATACAGTAATTCTAATTTAGTCAAGTTCATCACTGTCATCTTGACCACATGCAGCAAGCTTTGTAAAGAAAAAAGTATAAAGTAGGAGAGCTCTACTTTAGGAGGACAGAGGGTAAAAAAATTTCCTGCAGCCCACCAGTAAACAGTCTGGCTATGCACTAAGAAAGCATAGAGCAAGCTATGAAGCTCTAAAACCCAATTACTTACAGAACTTTGAGTTCTTTCAACCCAGACAAGGCCTTTGGATGGATAAAAGTAAGGTCATTGCCAGCCAGTCGCCTGGAAAAAAATTGCAATAATAATTTCAGTCACAAAATCCAGTACTTCTACAACCATCTAACAAGGAAAATCACTGCAATATCAAATCTTGAAAGCAATTATGCATTTGGCATTCAGTTATACTACATTCACAATCTTCCAAGTTTGTAACAGTTCTTTTACTTACAGCAGTTTTTAAAAATGAGGATGCATTACTCAGCCTTGTGGATATTCTTTTGCAAAGGTGCTAGAAAAAGCACACCTTGGAATGATGAAGAACCTTCTTATGGTGCTAGGTTTGAAAGTGCATTTACCAACACAGTCCTCTGGCTTTCAGCATTGCTCCACTGAAACAGGCTCTGGTTCCCATGTATTTTTAATCTATACAGCAGTTTCTAAAGACAGTATGAACTTAAGTAAAAACAGATGCTAGATGCTACAGAAAAGCAGCACAAGCCTCTATGAAAATCCCAAATATGAAAACAATATTCACAAGCAAGTGGTATGTTCACCCAGTGCTGACAATTGACAGGACACCTGTTGATAAACCAAGACATAATATTGGCAACATTTCATCTTTTTGGTCAGCTATTTGGAGCAACTTTTGAAGAAAGGAAACACTTTTTGGGCAGGGAGAAATGGAATAGGATTCTCTCTCAAAATGTGGCTGGTTTCAAATTTGGACTGCTAGACATTAACACAGAGTAAATTATGAAGATCAATGTGATATTAAAAGTAATCAAGATGGGAGATGCTGCAGAATACGAAGCAGGAAAGCAGAAGCAGCAGCCAAAACAGCTGCTCCCAAACAGCTCTTTCCCCCTTCCCCCACTCCTTTTCTTTCTCCAACCTTTTACCTCTCACTTGCCCAGCAGATCCAGCCTTGGTTGAGCTGCTAATAGCAGTATCTCATCAAGGGTAAAGACAATAATGCAAAACACCTGGTGATCCATAACTGACAAAAGATGCAAAAGTTTCAGCCAAAGTATTTGGGTTTAGACTTGGGTTTCATATCCCAGTTAAACAAAAGCAACGTTGGACAAGGTTGTGCAATGAAATCACCCATGGAAATACTGTGTACAATCCAATAAGTGTTAATAATTAAAAAACAATCAACGTGCTTTTACAAAGGTTACAGAATATCAAAACCCATCCCTGCTGTTACAAGGCACTGTGAAGCAAGCCAGACACAGCAAAGGGAAAATATTATTTCAAAGAGGCAAACAAAGGAAGTAACAAGAGCAACACCTAAAGGATCAGCCTGCCAGAACATCGCAATGTTATTACATTTTTATCTCCTTCTCTAACTACATAAAAGAGATTACCAAAGCACTTAATGCTTACATAAATCTGCTTGCAACAGAATTAGTGACTTAATAAAATGCTGCCTGATAGAGAGGATGCTAGTTATCTTTATTAAATCCATTTCTCAAATGCAGATGGTTATATTTATAAACCAAGGGAGAAGAGGACAAGAATACCTTCATGAACAAGAAGGTGACAGCAGAAGATCCTACTTGTTCTTAGAAAACTGTTACTCTTGCTTGTTAAGGTGGATTTTGGGTTCTAGTCTTGGTATTTTCACACACTCCCCAACTGTTCCTGTTCTGACATCAGTACAAGTATGTTTAAAAAACCCCCACATCTGCTGACTGCTGAGAAATGTTTGCCTGCATGCTTGAGTATAATCAAACAGCTCTGAAACTAGAAGGAAAAGAAAAAGAACCTATGTATGCTTATTCTTGAAATCTCCTGTCTGCAAGCAACCTCAGAATTGCAGAGCTGGAACATGATTTTTCAAATACTTCGAATTTTTAACATTAATGGAAGTTTCCAGATGGCAACTAAACAGTCCCTTAAAATTCATTTTATTGTCAGTAGCTGTCCAAATCCACTTGATTAACTTTATTTGGGGGGATGTGGAGGGAAGTTTGCAATATTTCATGTCTTTCCTTCTAATAATTGATTTACAAGTTCACCGTAAACAGAAGTACTGATGAAACATGCTGGGTCTCTACAGCAGAGCCAGTAATCTGCAAAACACGTTTCTGTTAAAATTTGTTTGAAACAGCATAACGCAAACCCTTAAATCAAACAAAATTCAACTGAGGCTGTTGCACCTCATCATTTTGCATGCAAACACTACTATGATTACACATTACACAACTCAAGGAGTGGCCGCCCTGGTAAATGTGTCAGGCAGCTCTGGCTGCAGCTCTGCCAAGGCTCCCCATTAATCTGCACTGTGTGAGGCTTCTCAGGCATCTGCTCCCTCTCCCAGAGAGACTGGGGCTTGTTACTTTAGCTTTAAAAAAGCTGAACTAAATACAGCTGAACAGTCTCCCTGAACCTGAATGGCACCAACAACAACCTAGAGAGCACTGGAAACAAATGATAGCTGAGCCAGAGCGAGACTGGTGTGACTTCAAATAGCAGGACACTGCTTTCCTCAAGGCAGCTCCTGCTTCTTCAGCCTTTTTCCAACCAACCAACAGAAAAACCCCAACCTTTGTGATCAATTACACTTCCATTTCTCCACTATCTGGCAGTGTTCCAGGCTTTACTCATCAGTTTGCCAAACACGCATTTATCATTCACATCCTAGCCTTGGGGAGCTGCTCATGAGGAGGTTTCAAGTGCAGCTCCCAAGCAGGCAAAGATCATTATATCACACATTGCTCTCAACACATTTTCCCTGCAGCAGCTGGAAGGATGGAAATGTTTTTCTCTACACAACCAGGTTCATTTTAAAGAGAGAACTGAAAAATAAATAGCATACAGTATAGCACACGTACAACATTATAAATTATCATTGAAATCATCCAGTCAGGTTTTCCATGTTACCTTCTTTCAGCAAGTCTTAAAAATATTTATTATTAAATCATTTAAAAGCATCTCTGTTTCTCTCTCTCACACACACATCTCTAAATAGGCTAAGGGAAATCACAGTTTTACCAAGGCCAAAACTCTAGCACAACAGAAAAGACACAACTTTCATCTCCTTGCAGCAAGGCTCACTAGAGCCCTGGAAGTTGCTGCTCTATGGTGGGACAATTTCAATTGTCACAAAGCAGCACCTTAAGGCAGCCCCACATTTACACTATCATGGGCTGAGTTTCTATCCTTTCCCTCATTCTGAGTGGAAATGGTTACAGATATCTAGTCTGAAATCCACCTGTTGCCACTGAATCATGGTATATCATCATTAATTAGAGCTTTCTCCAAAAGGCAGTGGGCTGCAAAACAGATTCACCCACAAAGACAGTAAAAAATTGAATTAAACAGACAAGTGTAAAGTGCCCTGCCATGATATAAGGCCACAAAAACCTCTGCTATCTCTTACTTCTCAAGGGACAGAGCAGCAGGCATCATCTGAAGTATAAATGTGTATTACACTGACCATGAGTTTCTCTACTAACTCTATCCTGGCCCCCCTTGTTTGGAGACTCTGCCAAGGACTGCTGTTATTATCATCATCATCATTACCATTATTATTACTATATTATTATTATTATTATTACTACTACTACTACTATTATTTCTAGCTGGAATTAGTGTATCTGAGTTAAACCTTGGAGGTTTCTCCAGTGGAGTCCCAGACATAATGCATGGCCACAGTAGGGATCTTTCTCGTAACTGCTTAGCATTGAATGTTGTAGTCCTCTATTCTTACTTTAAAAATAAAAATTGAGTGTTTTAATGGTAATTCAAACTTACAGATTCAATTTCAGCATAGTAGGATAACAGAATAGGACACACAGAGAACAAAGCCTGTCATACAGAGGCGAGCAATATCCTTTAATCATTATTTTAGTGACCCAGTAAATCATCTCCAGATGTGGAGAACACCTTATTATTACAGATATCAGGGTGATGCAATGTAGCTGAAGACTAGACTTCCATGGTGTCTCATTCCCAGAGTACACACCAAGCCTAGGTCCTTGCACTGAGCTGCAGCTAATACGGTTTTCTCTCCTTCGGGAAATTAAAATTTTTGCAATTATGAGTCTGGCAACCCAGCTGCATGTTAACCAAGCCAAGTTAATCACTGGTGCGGCTCCAAAAGTCAGGGAGGGTATTCCAAAGATACATTTTTGCCTGTAACAATTAAAGCATCACTCTTGTTATGACAGGACACAATAAAACGTCTTGGAAACCTCTGTCCTTGTCCTGCATCCCAGATGGTAGTGAACTCTAGGATACTTGAGCGGAGAGTTTCATCTCCTTCCATCCCTCTGAAGGTCTTATGCTCATACAATAAATGTTTTTGCTGTGGATTTTGGGTTGGTTTTTCTTTTCCTCTTGGTAGTATGCTCCTAACCTTTTGTCTCTCTTGGCTCTGAGAAAAATATAATGGTTACACAGAACAAATTCAAAGAGCATCAGAGACTGCAGCCCTGACATGTCATAATAAAACACCTGATTTATTATTTTTACTTCTACATAAGCTGATTTGTGGTAAGAGCCAAGACTCCTAGTTCAAGGTTTAGTCAAGCCTGAGCCTCCCATATCCATCACTGTTCCTCTGCCTGGCCAACATTTAGTTTTAGCTATCCAACTTTTACCTTCCTATTTTCATCCCATTGGAAAACACTGCACTGCTTTTCCACCCATACTTTCACAAACTCTACTTTTTGTGCTGTCTTACATTGAACTATTCTGTTATCTTTACATGCCTTCCACTTTTTCTGGGTTCTCTGTGTTTTCAAATACAAACTTGAATTTTAGCTTAAGTTCTCCCTCGACAGAAGTCATCTTTGGAGATGCCTCATCGATAAATTAATCCAGGATACCCAGCAAGTGTTTCCTCAAATCTGAAAGAGCTTCAGTTTCCATCTGTGCCAAAATAGCAGCCAGTTTAGAACAGAATTTTGTTTTTCTCAACAGATGATACCTAATTATATGCCATAATTTATTAATCAAGGTTGAAAGCTCTACAGGAGAGGGACAGTCTCTCTGTATTTGCAGGAAAATACAGGGTTTTGCTGCATGCCTTGTGCAGGGCTGGGTGCCCTGCCTGG